AGAATTTGTCTTTGTCCACCCTGTCAATTTCCCTGAGAATTTTGTAGGTGGTTATCTTGTCTTCCCTTACTCTTCTGTTTTCCAGGGACGTGAGGTTCAACTTCTTTAGCCTTTCCTCGTAGCCCATTCTTCTCAGTTCCGGGACGAGCCTGGTGGCATACCGCTGAATCTTCTCCAACTTTGTCTTGTGTTTAACTAGGTATGGACTCCATGCTGGAGCTGCATATTCCAGGATTGGTCTGATATAAGTGGTATACAGGGTCCTGAACGATTCCTTACACAAGTTTCTAAAGGTAGTTCTCTGGTAGGTTAGAAGAGGACACTTTCGTACAACAGTGTTCTTGACATTGGGAAACCTTAGGAGGATGGGCTGGTATGTGACTGTGTATGTTGTATATTTTCTCTGTATTCCCTCTATTTCAGAAAGCATGAGGGAATTTTTTTTTAAATTTCCCTTCTGTTTTGAAAGGGAAAGCAAGTAGTGAACAGTACTCAAGGCATAAAAGCACAGTAATTTGAAAAGGAGCAGCATTGTAGTGGAATGTCTGGATTTGAAGATTCTCATAATCCATCCTAATGTTTTCTTAGGTGATGCTGTATTTGCTTAGTTATTCTCACTAAAAATTTGGTTGACTTTCATTATTCCTACATGTTTATTTCCTTCTATGAGGAGATCTGACTGTGTCTTGTACATTTTATTTTACTTACATTCTTTATTTTTACCACACACCTAAGTACAGTAAGCGCTCCGTAATACCCAGTCTGGCAACCCAAAAAACCCGTTTAATCACCAAGATTTCAAGTTCGAGTTTTTCACCCTTTTTTCAAGTCATTTTAACCCAAATGGGGTTTTGGGTTACAGCAACTTCCACTGGACAAAAACCATAAACAAACTTGGGTCTCTATAATCTGAAACCAACTTGGGTTACTGCGAATCTTTCATCATGTTACTTAACGAAATATGGCAACTTATGCTCAAGCATGAGCCACCACACTCGACAACATTGCCATCTTCTCAGCAACCCGACACCCACACCCCACTCCCTACAGCCACAACCCCTTCCCAATACCGACACCCCACTCAATACTCCTACACCACTTCCACCTGACACCACATTCCCACCCAATACCACACTCCCATCCCACTTCCACCCGACACCGACAACCCACCCGACATCGACAAACCACTCCCACCCGACACCCACACCTGGATTGTACCTGGATGGGAGTTCTAATAGTAGTTCTACACAGGCCCAACTTGGGACCAGGCTTGACTTGTGAGAGCTTTGTCCAACAGGCTGTTGCTTGGAATGGTCAACAGGCCCACGTATCCACTACAGCCCAGTTGGTCCGACACCCACCCCCACACTCGCCCAACATCGACATGTCCCACCTTCCTTCCATCACCAACCCTCTGAGCTCACCGCATCTATGGGGTTAACACGATCCTATCCTGATCTAATCATGTGTGATTGTGGATCACTAACAACGTGCAAGAGTCGCTACACATTGCAACACTATCTTACAGAATCCACACACCCACTACTAGCATCTTTGACTGTTTCTGAAACTCTCCTTTATGCCTGACACCCACAACCCACTCCCGACACACTCACTAACACCATTCACTCTCCTGCCTCAGCCAAGTTTGTGTACAGTAATGTTTAGTATTGTGTTAAGTAAATGAACAATATTCAAGCCCTTCATCAAGAAACCCACAATGAGTAGGACCAAATGCATCTATTAACTATAATACTAGTCCAGTTTTGAACCACGGGATCCTGTGATGCTTTAATGTTGCTCGAGCAGAACACATCCTTTACCCCAGTGAAAACTTGGTGTCCTTACACCTAAAGTAGCCAGTATGAGTCTCAAGACTGCAGGCTGTGGACCTAGCTTCGAATGAGCAAACAGCTATGGAAAATTTTCCGGGGAAGCTAAAAAGAGAGATATTTAAAAAATATATATACCAAGATTATCTGTTGAGGTAGCACGTATCAGATATTCATGTACTTGTTTCGGAGAAGGGGAGCTCCCGATTGATACATCAGGCTGCAAGCAGCTTGACTGACCAGACCATCAACCAGAAGCCTTATCGGAGATCGGGCCATGAGGACGTTGATCCTCAGAATCATCGATAGGTATATACATGTGTGATTGTGCATGCCATATTTTTCCGGGTCTCATGTTCAGGATACCTATGTTTATCACATCGGCTGAAGTGTCACCAAAGACAGCATTTTTGAGTGTCAATTACAGTGTCAAGTGTAGAAACCAATCAGTCAAGAACAAGACGAACTCAGTGTGAACTATAAGTCACTCATTTGGAACTGTGTATCCACCTGTGACATTATTAGCTTTTCAATGTCAATCAACATTAACATTTCTATGAAGCATGTTAGTGTTACTGATAATTAACCATAAATATGCAGATGATGCTAAAACATTTCATTTACTCTGAATTTCCAAAAATTACTTCCATAACCATTCTTTTTTTAACTTTCATGATGAAACTCTTTAAAACACTCGTGTATTTGTAGCACTGTGCAGGTAGCACTTATCACGGGACCTGCTAGAGGCTATCTCCGCCCACCACCCTATCACTCAACTATTTCTTTAGCCGTGGGAATTTTTCTCTCTGCTCTGCAAATTATCTGATGGAAAAATACGAAAATTGTGTCCTTTTTATAGCTATATAGATCGATCATGTGAACACATTTACATACTTTTTTTATTGTTTAGGTTGAAAAATGAGGAATATTAAAATGTTCATAACCATTTGTATAGTCAGTGCCATCATGCAAGATCTATATAAACACACTTTTTTACCGCCTGTATTTCAGAGCATTCATTTGCAAACATTTTGACACCAAATTTATGGTTCGAGCCACAAAAATCTTCGAAAACAAAGAGTTTTATGAACATATTTTTTTTATTTTAGAAATTTTATTTTAGAAGAGTTTTATATTTTAGAAATTGCTGAGTGAGGCAGAGCCAGAATGATCAAGTGTTAACAGAACATGATTTCCCTTCTATTATGATGTCTAAAGACCTTAATGTTTACTGCTATCTCTAGACTTTTTTACCCTTCCTCTTGGCAATACAGTATTACACAATCTATAAGCAAATCCAGTGGAATTTCTCTTTCAGGAATTTGCCTTATCCTTCTTTGAGAGTAAGATTCAGCAACAGTCGAATGGTATTATCATTATGTCTAGTGCAAGATTCTGTTTTGGATGAATCTAGCATAAAAGGATACAAAGTTTCTTGGCTAAGACTGGCCATTCCTCAGGCACCACTGTGTTCTTGATAGCTTCCTGCTAAATAGTTTCACTTAGCATGAGAAATGGATGGTCAACCTCCAGTGCCTACACTAGTTGTCCTAATTCACTTGGACGCAGCTGAGAAAAATAGAGGAATGAACAAACTCAATACAGTACTGTATAGCAAAGAATTGGAACTGCCAGCATTTATATTTCAATGAGTGAGCATACAGCTTCATAATCCAACTGATGAGCCTGTGACTCAAGCAGGAATGCCACTCAAACATGACAAGACACTGTACCCAACATGAGGAATTTTAGAGTCAATATGAACAACCCATCGAAGCTGCACCAAGCTGACTCAGGTTCAATGCCAAGTGACAATGCCATGCTCAATCATGTAAGAGAGCAATAGCTAGGTAAAGCCCTTGGCAAGTCACAAGAAATCACACCTAAATGTACAGTTGAAAATGACCTGGTTGAAAATATGTTCTCAGCATGTTCTAACAATCCTGTCAAACAGAAACAAGGATGTAAATCAGCATGCCTGCAACTAAAAGCAAATAATCACAAAACAAAACAATTAAGACCAGGTGGGGGAAAAAGGATCCTTCACACAAGCAAAGCAATGTGGAAACCAAAAGAACGTAAATATGAATCACCAATATTAACTGCATTGGTGTGGGACAAAATCTAAAGGAGTTGTGAAAAGCCAGGTTTTATTAAGGAGGAAAGTCGCAGAACCAACAATTCATTAAAGAGAAGATAACTGCAAATCTGAAAGGCAAAAGCTCAAGTGACACAAAGCAGTTGAAAAAATACACTTTCGCCCATTTTAAAGCAAAGGCCAACAAGAAACTATCTCAGGATGAACAGGTGATTAAAATATACTCTACAGAGCCAGAAAAAAATAAATGGGGTGCAGATTTACCCAACTTCTTTATTTAATATAGTGTATTAGTGCTGTCATCTAGTGATGAGTTGGGGTAGCAACCAAGCAGTAAAATGTGAAATAAGCTGAGCAATATTCAACAATCTATTCAAACAATTATTATTTAGACGTGGTGTTTGAGTGAAGATGAATGAACTTTCTGGAGAGTGTTCTGGACTGAATTGAGAATTCTCCAGTGTCTTCCTTCACTTACTTCTGGCCTGGTGAGGACAACTTGTAAACAACCATGCTACATTGAAAATGAGAAGGTCACACCGACCTGGCTGTTTCTATGCTATGCCCAAGTGAGAGCAGGGATAGAGCCTAAGAGACTGAATAGCTTAAACTCAGAAAGAACACCCTTAATAAATGTAATGAAAACTAGTTAGGCATAGTAGTTAATAAACTAGTAAACCAGACAAACCACATGATACTTGAAAAAGAGGCAGTTAGAAATTATTGTATAAAATACTATCCAGTGAACTCTCAATTGTCTAGATTACCAATTCTAGTACAGTATACACAATAATGCCAAATATACAAACTATAAAATGTACTTTTGCAAATATTTAAATAAATGGAGAATATGCATAATTGAGTTTACTACAGTATATATTAAAACAAGATAGATAATCATTAATTGTAATTATTTGAATGTGGCCAAGGAGTGTCCTAAAATTAAATTAAGTTTTAATTTATCAACAGCAGCTCTTCTTGATGATCTAAAATCAAACTAATCTACTTTCTATAAAAAACACTATATACAGTCATAAATTATGCATATGATTAAGAAGGAAAACACTAACCAATTTTTCCGCCTTTGAATTGGAGATCATATGCATCTGGGTGTAGCCTGAACCATGCACTTCAAGGGGCAATGCATTATGATAGCCAGTGGCTGTTCCTAGCTCATCATCTGTTACAAAAATTAACAATAGTGAGTACAATACACAGAAAAGCCTTGAACAATACAGGACAAATAATAACCATTTCAAATAAAATGTTAAATATTTAAATATATACATCACCTGAACCCTATGACCCCTCAGGATTTTAACCCAGGCTGCCATGGGTCTCCCCATCAACAGCGCTGGTTTCAGAGAAAAAATTTCAGTTTGACTCCACATACATTTATGAATTTGCTTCTCCTACCACCCATTTATTGTTATTACTGTATTAGTAGTATCATGCACTTTATTTTACAAGATTACACAGTTACATAGATGATTGGGTACAAAATGTGAGCATTAAGTGGCAACAAAAGGAAATTTATTTCCTACAGGCTGTATATTTCTTCAAACTCCGATGCAGGGCAGGAACCGAGGATGCAGTGGGCATTTCCTCTCTGGATCATGCTGAAAATTCATTGAGCGATTGAGGCACTGGAAAAGGAAGCGTGCCACTCTTGGGTCTCTTATTGTAAGAACGAGTTCTTACATTCTTGAACAGCCACTAGCATGCATAACATTTTAGGCAAGTCCTTAATCCTTAATTAGTATTCCCCAAAATATGACCTGCCAAATCGTTTAACAACCAAGTACCCCTTTTACTGTTTGGTAAACAGAGGCTACAGTCAAGGATTAGCGCCCAGTAAATCCTCTCCAGCCAGGATATGAACCCGTGAAACACTCGCGAAACAACAGACGAGTGTTGTTTCTCTTACCACTATGTCACAGGGAACAACCTCCTTGCACACACTCCCCATGGACCACGGGTCTCAGATTCTATAAGAACAAAATTCCACCAGTGATCTATTTCCCTGTATTTGTTTGTTTTCTCTCTCTCTCTGTGAGTGGCAGCTGCTGCTCCTTGACCAACTAAGAGGGTGATGTATGTGGCTGCCAAAGTGGATACACACGTATAGTCCCACATCACTTGTTTGCCATTTCTCCATAGGCTGACTGTGATTCCATCTGGTTTACCAGTGAGGGTAGTAGAGTTATGGTTCATTAGATTACGGGGTTCTCTCTCTGCTGGACAAAGAGAGTGCCTCTCTCTGCCCAACCTTTCAGTAGGGTTGTGCAGAGCTGAGGCACCTCTTAATTAATAATGATGTTGACCTCAACATGTCTTATGTGCCATTGCCCCCGATTTCTGCAGTGCAGGCCATGCAATCCATGTTTATCTGCATCTACCTTGCCACAAATAGACTGGATTGGGACAGCAAGGTGCAAGGCATCTGCAATAATGACCTGCTGTGGGTCAAGACATGTACCCCTCACAGACAGAAGCTGCCAAAAGGAAATCCCTTGCATGGGGAGCATGGACAGCTGTGAGGTGAGCAACATCAGTAGGGATTGCTGTTGCCTCCAGTAAAGCTGTGACTTATATGTCTATGGGGCTGTCCCAGTTGGATTATTTGTTGACTTTCAGTAGGGTTGGTCAGAGTCCTGGGTCTGCCAGGGTACCTTATTGTGTGTTGCATTTCATGTAATGGAGTCATGTATCCCTGGTGAGTCCCCCAAGCTGTCTGGTAGAATATCCTTGATCAGGTCATCCAATGCCGAGGGGGAAGATAGGAAGGCTGGGACAGCAATTTGGGTAAAGGTGCGGACACCAATGCCACCGACTGACTGGATGAGTGGCTTGTTTCCACCGACAGTCATTGAGAGAAATGTAGGTAGATAGTCAACACACACCTCACAAGGAAACAAGGTGGTGATCATTTCAACTGTGACATCTGGCTAGTGATGCATGATTAATACAGTAATAGCATCCACAAATAGCTATTAACAAAAATAATTAAAATATTCTAATAACAAGAGTTTCTGTATACAGATATTTTCAAACATCTAGAGATACTCCTACCTTCTATGTCTGTAATGATAGAAACTAGCTCATCGTCAACTTCAATGTATCGTCGGTTGAAGTCAACAACACAATTCAAGCTCTGGAAAATAAAATAAAATTTAAGAACATGTTTTGTAAGTTATAAAGTACACACACACACTTAGCAGTGCTATAGTGTAAAAACAAAATGATAATGACACCATATACTACCGAGTACAGAATACATAACACAAGAAATAATTAGGTTCGAAAATACACATTATCTTTTTATTTTGGATTAGTGAAGAATGTGTACTGTTCCAATTAAACAACCAGTATCTTGGAAGGGAAGAGTGAAATAATATATGAAAGAAAGGGTGGGAAATGGTGTTATTGAGACTGAAATAATGAAATATTTTTGTGGTTAAAGATTATCCAGAAAAATACATGCTGTGACCACCTCCAAAGAATACCTGATCAACCAGGCTGTGACTCATACGTCAGGCTGCGAGCACCCGCGTCCAACAGCCTGGTTGATCAGTCCGGCAACCAGGAGGCCTGGTCGACAACCGGGCCGCGGGGACGCTAAGCCCTGGAAGCACTTCAAGGTAAGGTAACCCCCTAATATTAATGGATGTTCCGAGAGTGTGTAGTGTCATGACAATAAAGAATACAGTGGTTTTATTCAAGTGCATCCAGTTTCATTAACTATTTTCTGGACAGGATACTGAATATTTAGTACATAAAAAAAATGAGTTGCAGGCAACATTATACCTAACTGAATATCAGTTGCTTAGAGCAGTGGTCGCCAACCTTCCGAACCACTAAATTCATAATTTTAAATCCTGCAGACCACTAAAGCTAACTAGCTAAATCTGGGCATTTTGATAGCAAGTGTCTTGCGAGTTTCGAAGGTTTCATGGCATCAATGGGTAAACTCTAAGAACACACAACACAAAGCAGCCATGGATGCAGCTCACTACCAGGTTCTTGAATAAATCCAATTTCAAGTACTGTAGTTTGAATATTTTCTTTACATTTTCCTTCTCTCTGCCTCCAATTTGAATGTTCTTAATAATGGTGCCTGACGAGGACTGTGGAGGCTCTGAATCATTAATCAGCTCACAGTTAAGTGACGTACACATTATTATTATTGTTACTACTGTATTAACATTAGTTACATTATCTTTTGTAGTACTAAAGAAATGCAAAATATTCCATTGCTTTCTTTTCAGTCAATATAGGTTTATTGCATTCGAATCTGAAACCAAACAAAAAATGATAGTTATTAAAGTGAAACTATTTGATGCTATTAAATATAACAGTTAAAGAAAATACAGTTACATACAATACACCAATAAAATAAAACATTCAGAATACTGTATAAGAATTTCTTAGAATATTATTTTTGTTTGATTAATAATAAAACAAAAAATGCAAATGTCCAGATTTTTCTCAAGGACCACCTATTGGCGACCGCTGGCTTAGAGAGATAAGAATGCATGTGTGGAATATAGACCCGGAGAGAATCTGAATGAATCAACATGATGGGTCCACATGTGCGAGTGTTGTATGAATAAACTATCCCAATATTTAATATCATTCATCATTAAATACGAATACTGTACTAGGATAATACAGAATATATAATTTTGGAATGCACTAGTGAAACAAAGTTGCAGATGATATATGTGATGAGTAACAATGTTTACTATTTTTGTACACAGTATACTGTATTTATACATATACAGTGTATGAAGATGAGGGGCACCACATTAGAATTAGACTGATAAAATATGATACAATATATGCCATGAATGGAAGTAATGACAGTGAACCCTTTAAAGAACTCAGCCTCAGCAGGTATGATATCTGCATATCTGAGGTATATTTTTGCCCAAGTTAGATTTCACATTGGCTATACTACAGTATTAGATTTTCATCTGACAACTAATTTTCTTTAAGTTTGGTCAGGCAAGATTTCTGCCAGTCTGACTGGGATATATTTGCTCACACTTTGGCTACATTTCAATCTCAACAGGTCAGACTTGGATTCATTAAAATCAAGCTGAATGTAAAGTATAAAATCCAGAGATTAAGAATGGGGGAACACAGTCACAGAGAATGAAAAGGAAATGAGCAAAACACTAAATGAACAGTTCCAAAGTGTTTGTATAAAATGAGGCTTTCGGAGAACCAGAGTGTGCCAATTCCAGACACCACCATGGAGTACATAGAGGAGTCTTCAGATTAAGTGGAAAAATTACCCAAGGGGCTTGGAAGAAATAAAGAAGTTGAACCAGATAGCATTTCACCTTGGGATTTGAGAAAATGTGCACCTGAGCTGAACATTCTACTTCAATTGATATTCCAGATATCTTTGTGTACAAGAATCTTAGCAGATATACAGTATAGAAAAATGCACACATAGTTCCAATATACAAAAAAGGCAGCAGAGAAGACCCTCTAATTTACAAACCCATATCACTGTCAAATATGACAGTCAAAACACTAAAAAAAATAGTTAAAACTAAATAGATAGAATACCTGGAGAGATATGATATAGCACAGACAGTATTTGTTTTCAAACAGGACAATCCTGTTTAACAGATCCACTTAGTATTTATGAGAGAGTCAAAAACATTCTACAGGAAATAGATGGGTGGAATGACTGTTTATTTGATCTAAAAAAAGAAAAAGAAAAGGGGCGTTTGACAAAGTCCCACACAAGAAGCTATTTTAGAAGTTGTAACATGTTGGAGAGGTGACAGAAACTGCTAAAATGACTGAAAAATGTTGACAAAGATGAGGGCAGCAATCACAGGCAATGTATCTGACTAGATGAGTGTTACTAGCGGAGTACCACACGGTTCAGTTCTTGCACCAGTCAAGTTTACCATTTACATAAATGATCTACCAGAATGTGTGTATGTATGTATTAAAATGATGTACTGAATGGGGTGAGAATAGCTTGAGCTACCTCATCCCTTTGTGTGTATTTTACCTCAATAAACTTATTTCAATTTCAATCTACCAGAAGGAGTACAGAATTATATGAACATATTTGCTGATGATGCTAAGCTAATAGGGAAGATAGGAGATTTAGATGATAGTCATGTCCTTCAAGTAGATAAAGATAAAATAAGTATTCGGAGTGCCATGTGGCAAATGGAATTCAATGTGAATAAATGCCATGTTATGGAATGTGGAATTAGAAGATAGACCACACATAACTTACAAATTATGTGGACAAGAATTAAAAAACTCTAACAAAGAAAGAGATTAAGACAATACAGTAATTTGGTTTGTGAAGAGAAAAAAGCTGAATGCTTGATAGAAAATTTAATTAAAACTCAAGTTACTTAATTCAATTACTTTTTACTCTGCATTCTGTAGGAAACAAATGTTTTCATTGTGCACAGAAACAAATACATAGAGTATATGTAAAAGAATACAACAAAATTAATTAATACATGCACAAACTATGTGCGTACAGTGTACCTTCGGTTACCTTTTGATGATTCCGATGATCAGCATCCACATAATAAACTCCTTAAGAAAAAGACAATTTGAAATATTTTATGAAACATTCATAAGTACACAAACACAATGATCTAAATTCTCAGAACTTACCAAAGACTGAGTAAGATCTGAAACGCTGTTTGGCGTTATATTGGAAGCTCTTTCAGAAGACTTCTGAACATATCCAGGGCTGTGTGTGTACAATCCTAAACTCTCTCGTGAGCTCCATCTCTGCAGTTCTGCCTGTTTTAAAGATGAATATACTGTAAATATAATTAATGCTTGTGAGTACATACATTCATTCATTTATATACACTTATATATATATATACATACACACACACACACTGACACTGGTCTGACACTCACATTTTTCATCATGCGTTAATTTCCGTGATGAAATATATACCTGTGTGTGTATGTATGTATATAATATATATATATATATAGATAGAGAGTGAGAGATAGCGATAGAGAGAGAGAGAGGAGAGACAGACAGAGACAGACACACACACACACATTACCTTGCAACCCCCGCAAACACAACTAGGTGAATACAAAGGTGAATACACACACACACACTTGGTGGAGGCCAAGACCGTCAGTAGTTTCAAAGCGTTATATGACAAAGAGTGCTGGGAAGACGGGACACCACGAGCGTAGGTCTCATCCTGTAACTACACTTAGGTAATTACACACACAGACCATGGCAATTCCAGGTAACCCCCCACCCTCTCAGTATACAGGTTGGATATTGTGGTTACAATAAATGCTTGATGGACATGGACACTGCATGTTCTGAAAGAGAATGGAAGGGATGGAAGGAGAACAAGAAGGTAGAATGGGGAGGGAAGCGAGACAACAGGAAGGAGAATAGGAAGGAGAGAGCGAGAAAGAAACCTGGACACTAGCAGGTACCCCCATCTAATATTAAATAAATGGAATTTGAGTTTTTATATGCACATCAAGTAATAACAAATTTGTTAGTTAAGCTGCACATTTAAATATACAGTAAGCATACATACAACATAAATGATATGGAAAACAACTAGAATCTTTCAAGTGAATTTAATGACATACAGTACTTTACTTTTATAATTGTCTGCAGCCTTGCAAGAAGAGATATTAAAAGGGCAGTTTAGACAGATAGGGATGAATTCAACATTCACCTCCTATCTATCTGTGTCTGCAACCCTTTGCAAACATTTGGTATCATACGATGTCAACTCTTCAGTCATTTGTTGACCAACGGCTGTCACATTGTATGTGACTACAAAAAAAAAAAAAAAAAACTTGATTGATTAACAGTCGAGAGGCAGGCTAAAAGAGCAGAGCTCAACACCCACAAGCACAACTAGGTGAACACATGACACTATGGCTTTCTCCATCTCTGTATCAAAGTATCCATTTCTGAGTGCTCTGTATCCATCACAGCACTCAGAAATGCAGCACTGTACTATAAAGTAACTACAGTATTTACTAAACACTATGTATTTAAAATTACATCATTCTAAAACATAAATAAAATGTCTCATGTTCTAGCTTACACTGATATTGCTCTGACCTCAAATCTGCAGAAATCTGTGTAAAAGTTTCACAACTTAATGTGCTGATCTTGTGGATATGGATATATTGAACCACTAGTGGAAGGAAACTATCCAGTGAGCAAACTATCCACGAGTAATGTTAAACATTGCAATACTAAATTCAACATTGAATTAACATTACTCTTAGATATTATGCCCACTGGGTACTAGCTTGTTGAGGTGCCAATAGCAAAAGACAAGGCTGTAGCCATGTGGTCCCACATTCAGTGGCTTGTCTTAACCTAACTGAGCGATGTGCATGCCATCCACAACAAAGTAACTAAGCATAGGAAAGTCTTGCAAATCTGATTTTTATAATGGCATTAGAGTTGTCATTAAAGAGCGGGTTCACACATCTACAATTCAACACAGTACCTGTACTTCTAAAAATAAAAAATGAATGGGAGATGGGATAAGGGATCCTGTTGACATTCTAAAATCTTGAACCGACTTAAAAAATATTGAATTTAACTAGAAGAATATTGATAAGTAACAGTCTGAATGAGTACATTATGTAGAAATGTTTATTTGTCGAGAAATAAATTGTTTAATGCGACCCATCATTTTGCTCAGAAACTGCACTTTTGAAAATCTAGCTCAAAATATAATTCTAAATAAAAAAATTGCCGATTGCAAATTGTAGAGCTATATACAAAGAACACAGTATGTAAAATTCATGAAAATTGGATCATAAATCACAAAACTAAAAAATTACAAAAAGCTTATTGGTTCCTATTGTATAAAATTAAATACAAACATATTACAGTTGCAGTATTGCAGACGAGGAGTCACAATAACGTGGCTGAAATATGTTGAACAAACCACACACTAGAAAGTGAAGGGATGACGACGTTTCGGTCCGTCCTGGACCATTCTCAAGTCGACTGAGAGAATGGGTCAGAACGGACCGAAACGTCATCGTCCCTTCACTTTCTAGTGTGTGGTTTGTTCAACATTACAGTATTAACACTTGTTACTAAATTTATCTGATATATACATAAAGATAAATAACAATACTAAACACCCTCTCATCATAAAGTGATGTTCCTTCTAGTGCATCATCACAGATGTCTTATGATGTTTCTGCTATGCTGTGTGGAGACAACATCATGCACCGACTCTTGTTACACATAATTACCCTTTCTTGCATGGCCTGCTTTCAGTTGTCGTTTAAAAGCAATTAGAAGATAAAGACATCTTGAATGTAGGTGGTGTAAAACAGACTATTTAAAGTACGTATATTGCTACTACAGGACCAAGTGCAGACCCTTAAGACAAATGCACTCTGTCCAATGACTCATGAGTCACTGATCTCACACCAGTTAAGAGCCCTCAACATGTTGAGTAGCTATAAAACAATGTTGCCACATTTTCCTACTATTACTGAATTAAATTATTAATTATTATTTTTAGAAATGTTTGATTGTATTGAGAATTTTGATCAATACTTTTTGCTGATGTTGGTGATCCAGGCCCGTTAAATCTGTTGCTTCCAGGAACACATTTCAGGTGTAAAGGATGGCAGTATTTGTTTCATAGAGATCAAATTTTGGTAGTTTCACCTTATTTGGCTAAAGGTGAAATGGTAACTGGTGTTCTTTGCAAAAACACAATGATTAATGTTAGATGTAACCCAACAGGCTTTGGAATGAATCATGCCACGTAAGTAGGTTTACATTTAACTATAATTTTTGCCATTCAATTGAAATGCATCAATTCTGGTTGTACATATTTATATTTAGTACCTAAAATAAACAGCACTTGTGTATTTGCACAAGCACAATAGTGCTTGTTTCTGCCATACATATTTGGTAAATTTTTTTAGATTTAAACCTTGTGCAAGACACTCATATTCTTTAGTTAAGAAACAGACCATTGAGATGAACACCATTAAGTCTTAAGTACACTGTACCATGCTTTACAAGAAATTAAATTATTAGCTACAGCAAGACAATGAAACCAACAGATAAGCCCTTGAATAAATCTACTGCATATAAAAATGGGCCAGACAATGCTAAGAAGCTCATTAGATCACTGCATTACAGTATTTAGCAAAGTCTTCGGTAACATGAATACTGTATTAGAAAATTAGTAGGAGCCATGAGGCGGATTCTAACCTGCAAACTGGGTTCTCCCAAGCACACGCATTTGACCACATAATACTTAAACTACATAATACTTTATTTGTAACTATTATATTCTGCAAACTAATTAAAATAAACTTTCATAAAATTCAGGGTATTTAAATGTACAGACATTATACTGTACAGTATACTGTACTTAGGGATTTATTTTGTACCATAGAATATTTAAAAATTCCCTTTACAAATCTGTTCTTTTAGAGTGGTTGTTTAAAAAATTTATGTCAAGGCAAAAGGAACAACAAAATGTTAGAAAGGAAAGGACACATTAAATAAAGTTGCATTATTTTATATGAAGTGAAAAAGGCTTTTTTTATACAGTATAATTAAGAGAACTGCTAAGTCTTTGACACAGTGAAGTGGCTTGGACAAATAGACAGAATAACTACAGTAGAAACTAATAAATATCTAAAGGCCTGATAAGATGGGAGGTGGATTAGAAAAACAGTACAGTACATGCAAATTGTAAAATAATATCGACACTTTTAAATTTACCTTTTCCAATCGATCAATCTCTTCTCTCCATCGGTCATCTCGAGGTGAGAGGACAGGGCTGGTGATATTCTGGTTGATTGGTCGCAGAACATCATTAGGAGACCCACTACCAGAGTTTGGACTTAAAAGCTTTTCGTATACTGATCTGAGGAGTCCCGATGATTCACCCAACTCTATTGAAAGCTCAGATAATGGAACACCCATTGAGCGAAATCTTGGTGAACGTGATGGACTCATTAGTAACCTACGACTTTGGCTTCTATAGCTGCTATACTTTTGAGGAACATTTTCCATATTTTCATCGGAAAATTCATATTTCTTGTCAGCAAGACGTCTGCGACGAAAGACACTAAGTTTTTCATGACGTGACTCTGTAATTTCATCAATGAATTCGTACTCCTTTTCAGCTTGCTTTGTTGGAGTTTTTTCACCATAGGAACTTTCACTTGAGCTACGAAGTACCCTTCTACCTTGTTGGGAATGCACAGAATTAATGGGCAAATCATCAGCTATTATATTATTTCCACAACAATTAACTCCTGCTCTAAATTTATCACCAATGTTTATTGTGTCCCTGAGATCAGAGCGGCCTAAACGTGAATCTTCACTAAGGTGGGAGCACCTTGTTGAGTCATCAGAGTCGTTGTCATTAAAGCAGTCTTCATCACCATAAAAATGATAAGGGGAATCATCAGGCAATTTAAATTCTTTGAGCGTGAGATTACAAACAATATTATTGTTTTGCAGTCCACTGAGACTCCCATGACTTTTGTTATCACAGTTTTCATTGTCACAGAGATGAGAAATACTCAGCCCATCAGCAGTACTACTACTCTGACTGCCTCCACAATCACCATGAATGTTATTACTGTCTTCATTTCTAGTCCTTACTTCACTTTTTGGAGGCAAATTTCCTATTAAAATTTCCCATTCTCTGTCTCTGTCGGTCATTGAACTATTACAACCACACCTTCCTCCAGTATTCAGCGTTATCTTCAGTCCACTTATTCCTGATCCAGTACTTGTGTGGTACTTTTCTAACTGAGTTCCTTCCTCCTCCTCACAACTGCTTTGGCCATCGGCCTCATGTTCAACATCACTACCAGAGCTGTCTACCATATTATACTCTTTACCAGATCTTAGGTTTGGTAGACTATACTGCCCACCTGACACACTATTTTTCACTTTATTTTGTTCCCTATCATCATCACTTTCCTCCTCTTCCTCTCTTTCCTCCTCATTGATACTATTTAGTCTAACACCTAAAATTTCTGATTCAACTTCTTTCATTTTTCTCTCCATATTTTCTAAGTCAACATTCAGTACATGAATAAAATTGCCAGCATTGAGCACCACAAAGCCCTTCCTTTTCATTTGTACATTAGGGAGGAACTTTGGGAAAGGCGGTACCATTTCAAAACTGGTATGAACTGTAATGCCATGTTTAAGACAGCTAAATCGCACACAGCTATTCCAACGCTCTGCCAGATCTGAAAATATGGTATCAATTGTGAATACGAAAACATTTCCTTTCATCCTTGCAGGCATGTCACCAATCACAAGAATCACAGGTACTATTACTGTAACAGTCTAAACTGTTTTAGAAGGCTATAGCAGTTACTAAAATGTGGGATACGCCTTCTATGAAAAGCATGCAGGAAAATGATACTTTGACCTGGGTAACAGAGAAAGATCTTCCCAAAGAGATTAAGGGCTTTGAGACGAGGCAAGGTCGCCAAATCTAATTGTGATAGCCTAGAATTAACTCTCCCCACGAATCACTTTCACTTAGAGAAAAAAAAAAAAAAAAAGTTTTCACCCTCCCTGTAGCTAGTTACAAAGGAATAGTAGAGTTATAACAAAAAAGTATGTGGAGTACCGGTCTGAGTATGGAATTATAGTACTGCTACATATAAAGCTGGCAAAGATGTATGGCGAGTCATATCAGAGCAACGGGACGTCACCGTCATCACCATCCCTTGTGCTTAACCCTTAGACCGTGCAATACATACATACATGATTTGACAAAAAATAATTCAACATAAGTTTTTAAAACTTGCACAAACACTTTCCCATTTTTTTGTTGCATAATCAACTAGGCAAATGCTCTAACTTTGTCTAAATGATCACAGCGTAACTTGAAAAACAAGAGAATCAAAATTAAATTCAAAATTGAATATTGAAAACTTCAGATTTTCAATTTAGAATAAAAAATATGAACTATCACCAATTGTTCATTTAATGTTGTTATTCTCTCAGAATAACATGTGATTTTCATTTTCATCAAATTAGAATATAGGTTTTCACTATACTGTAGTCACGTATACTATGACATATAGTCATAGTATATGTCACGTATTTCAAATATCCTATTGACAATTTTTTTTTACAGTAAGTAAAAAAAAAATTGTCAATAGGGCATTTGAAATACGTGACAAATTTAGACCAAAAAAAATTATAACTCCAAATGTATAACATTTATAAAAAAAATCCATTCTAAAGGGATTGTAGAACAGACAGTTGAGCACACAATGTGTCAAAATAGTGAGAATCGGTCAAAAACTGGAATTTTAGAGGCCACTCAAAGTTGAAACTGGTTTCAGAGACAATTGAAGTTGAAGTTATCAACAATAAAGGTAGTTTTAATTAGTTAATTTAACCATGTTTTAATAAACATTGTTTGGCATTCGTACTCGAATATGTGAAAGTTGTAGGTCAATATGTGTTGAAATGAAGTAAAGAAAAAGTAACCCCCCCCCCAAAAAAAAAAAAAAATAAAGGGATAATTATAATAATTATAATGATTTAGGGGATATATTTAGGGTATACTTGATATAAGTGAAAAAACTCTAATATGGTCATTAATCATCAAAACAACCTAAAGAGACAAAGAAAATAGTTTGAAATCAGAACAAATCAGCCAAAAAAATTAAGTCCCAAGTTTTGTAAGTTGTGACTGATTTATTTGTTGACCAATTTCATTCTATTTTCACATAGTTATGTAAACATATGCATTCTCCAGGATGTAAAGCTTACAACAAAATCAGATAATAAGCAAATTAGAAAAAAATTAAAATCTTAATTAAAAAAAAAATCCCCTAAAAATATTTTTGGGGACATTGATGAAAGTAAAATTTATTAACACTGGACAATGTATTTATATGACATATAACAAAATAGATCATATTAACATATTCATTATTTGTGTTATATATTACTCAGCAATGATATAAAGGCACCAACTGCATATCCACTTTGTGGACACTTCTTGCTAATATTGTTCTTCATTGAGCATAGGACAGGTGCTTGCATCTCTCTATTACTGCATAATCCTTCAGTTCCAGTTATTAGGAGCTGTTCTCCTTTCTAAAATCAATGTCTGAAAATATTTTGATGAAAGTTTCACGAAGCAAATAAGTTGGAGATTTGTTAAATATTTCAAATTATTTTTACATAATTCAAATATTTTTCGCTACCAGGGCCCCCAATATGCATGGTCTAAGGGTTAATCCTTAAAAATGGAATTATTAATGTAATACTCAATAATGAATAATTAACCTTGTTTAAGAACTCACGTTAGATTAACATTGATTGAGAGAAAAGATTCAGTCTCGTATGTTGTCAAAGAGACATTTGACTTCAGTGAGAATATGGGATCTTGTTATTGGAAAATATGTACCGATCATCTTGTCTATTAATACACGGAAATTATAAATTCAGAGTATCATTCACTATTATAATTAATAATCAACCTGACTTAAGTACCTATATAATTTGTCATTAGTTTTGAAATAGGAATCTGGTCACCGTAAGAGACCAGTACATTGAGTTAGCCTTGATAAATAGGTTTGTTAGTGAGGTTTGGCAGACAGCCCAGGTCAGCTTCACAGAGGTTAGAGGGAGTTTTAGAACAGTGCGAGTTGGGACATCCTGGGGATGTCCCAACTCCCATTGATCCCCTTCCAGAGGCAAGGCTGAACAACTGGCCGGGCTGTGGTATTAAAGGTAAAAGTGTGCTTATCTTGTAATTTTTGTACAGTGTATTAGTCCACAGTGTTCTAATTGCCTCTAAGTTAGGAAGATTTCAGTTTAGGGAGTGTTATGGTATATCTATATATATATCCTTTTGTTTAATAAATACTTGTTGAGTGATTAAAGTTGTTTAGTGGAATTTTCCTCATTGTCTATTTTTTAAGTAATTAATAAATTCTAATCATCCATGATCTGCTTTATAAAGATAAGCCCCTGTGAACTGTGCAAGCATTCCTTATTCTGTTCCAATATATAAGCCCCTTGTGATTGAGTAATGCCCACTTAACATAAATTCATCTCTCCCTTTTCAAGTACTGTAATTGGGGATCCACATTCTCGGAATTAATGTGCAATTGACTGACCCAGCCCGTAATCAATTAGTAGGTATAAGAACTGTTGGATTGGTGGTGGCAGCAGAAAGATCTCAGAGTTTGCTAGGGACCCAGTACAGCGTTCTCGTGTATGTAGTATCTAGGCGATCAAAGCTACAAATCATGAGGATTGGACTGAAGTCTACAGTAGAACTCCGCTGAATATTTTTATTCGGGAAATAACGACCCATTCTTAGCTAATCTAAAGAGAGAGAAAAGTGAAAGACAGAGATCCCCATTACATTACACAAGAAAACAAGTTTGTATATTTACCTTCTTCTTCATAAGAAGTGGCCACCTGATAACAGGCAGAGCAGTTATCAAGCGAAGGAACAGCAGTAATAGTGATATAACATCTGCGAGTTTGGGAACTGCTTCCATCACTACCCTCGATCATACTGTAAATAGTAGTGTTAGAAAACAAGGGAGCATATTATAATAAAGGTACAAACAAAATAAATGGAGTTGCAAACTATATATTGTTTACTGAGCACCAGATATTAAATCAGGTTTTTGCTGTGCTAACAAGAAAGGTTAGCTTTGTTAGGTACTTAGAAAAGTGAGCAACTCTGTGCATACAATACAGCAATGCATACTATGAATAAATTTCTTGCACTGAAACCTTAAAGCCTAAAGTTTTATAGTACATATTATACACAGTATAATAATATTAATCTGAAGTACTCAAATGTACACTCACTGACACATGCTACTCTGGAAGTGTGTTACAGTATTTAGGAATGAGAAGTGTGAAGTGGAAAAAGTGTAGTAGTTGTAGTACCTTAACAAATAAGGTGATATGAATGACAGCATAGTTAAACTAGTTTATGAAGGCTTAACAATGAGACATGGATGAATTTTTAGTTAGGAGAGGTTATGGACACATGCAAAGTATGAATAATCAGAAAATGAGTAGAGCTGTTATTATTAATTCTTTACAGATGGTATTTCTGTAACTTGGTTACCCTCCCATGACTGAATTTTCCATGTTTACTTCCCACTTTCTTGGGGTGAGAAGGACCTAAAATAAAGGAGAGTAATATAAGATTGTAAATTTAATAAACTAAATTTATCATCCATTACATATATTACACTACATTTGGTAGTATTATGTAGAATCAGCACTTAAGTAAAAATGCCTCTGCTTCACAAAGTGGTCATCACATGATTATTGAAGTTTTGTACTCGCCTCATTATGCATGCAGGGGTTTAGCTTTGGCTCATTGGTCCCATCTCTTGACTGTCAATAAACTTGTGTACAAATTCCTGAGCCTATTGGGCACTATGATATCTACACTTGAAACTGTTTGTGTCAATGTTTAAATACTGATTTGATTTATATGATACCAATAGCTCAATGATATCTCCAAGCAGTCATGGGAAGCCAAAAAATTAATCACTATGCTAACAAAGATCTTTACTGTACAAGATTGGGGAGTTTTTTCTTACTTTAGTATACAGGGTTCTTACTTTGGAATATATTTCACATAAAAAAAATTTAGTTTAGGTCTTGCCTCCTATTACCATAATAATAATAATAATAATAATAATAATGTCAACACTTGTGTTAGTTTTACTCATTCTCCGACTATTCCTACTTTCCATATGTCCATAACCTCTCCTAACTAAAAATTCATCCATGTCTCATAGTTAAGACTTCATAAACTAGTTCAAATATACTCTGTCTTCATGTCATCTTATTTGTAAAGGCACTGCAACTAGTACACTTTTCACAAAGTCACAACATGGTACAAAGAGTGCAGCACTACCCTGTGTCATGTGAACTGCTTCAGTGAGCATCACACCCCCAGAATTTGTTTTTCATAATGGTGCATAAACATGTACACACTGAGTGTGTCACATTACATTCTTTTATCAATTATTATTATAACTTAATCAATGTAATGACGTTTGAAATGCATAAGTGTGTTGAACCAAAGGTCCTTATATATTAGCTGTCTTTGATAAATACAACAAAATATGCTGCAACCTTGCTAATTTTCTTCATTAAAGTAAGCTTCAAAATTACTCTTACCTACAACCATACACAAGAATTTTGGATAAATCTCTTGGCCACTGACAGAGAGAGATGAAGATATTTTCATACAAGCCTTCTTGCAAATCCTGGTCACCAAAAAGCATTACCTCGGCCACTTTTCGCAATGGAGCATAAGGAATAAACACCCACCAGTGCAGTCTATATCTGTAATGAATTATAAAAAATAGAAATTAAAATCTTATCTGGAGGCATCTACTGTATATACAGTAATTAAATCTGACTACTGTATTGTATTCACAAACTATCACACTGCCTCCTAACCCTAATAACAAAGTTTTGCATTAATATTCGAATCCTGAATAAAACATGTTCCTAGCTACACACAAAATTAAAAAACTAAAAATAGGCATTAAGTGGAATGTAAAAAGTCTTATCCAAGCTGTATTGGAATACACACCTCTCAGTCTTGCAACTACAGAGGAAAAAAAAAAAAAAGAGGAGCAGAAGGGTTATGAATAAGGTCACTACTTACAAAACAATAAGGGGGAATAGACAAGGCGAACATGAACAGCCTCATTTGAGACAATTGGACTAGAGGATTCTGGTGGAAAATGGAAAAAAAAAGAGAGTTGAAGAAACACAAGGAAATGCTCTTACCCTGTACAGGTGGCCAACAAGTGGAATGCTCTGAAAGTGGAAGTTGAAACAACCTCAAAGAACTTAAATGTCAAGGAAAATTAAAGAAAAAAAAAAACCAGGTAACAAAAAATCTAAAGTGAAGAACAGAGAGCTTTGTCTCACTCTTCCCTAACTCATACCTTCCTCAATTGCTTGCTTTCATGACTTCACTGATTTAAGCATTCTTATCTACACAATTTTATCACATGCAAGGCACCACTTACAGTTGAATATACATTTGGCTTTGTACGTAAAGTATACACCATTCCTTCACCACAGCCTCATATCCCAGCTCCTCCTCCTCTTATTCTTCCAGGTGCTATAGTTACACTGAATTTTTGTATTCTATTGAAAATATTCAATAGAATCAAAATTTATGAATACTGTATATAAAATGAAATGCCTTACAAACCTGTGTATCATCTGCAGTGTGTGGTCATCTGTGTCACAGGAGTGAGTGTATGAGAGGACAAACTGGCCACACTTTGTGAACCCCAAGAAGACATGACTGTAAAGGAAAAACAATGACAGATTACATCTTAGAAACTTCTGTATATAGTCTAGCATTAAAATGGTATGAATACGCAGCATAGCAAGTCTGCTGAAAGGCAATAAACATCTGCTCATAAAGAAAGCAGAAATTTACAGGGAGATCAATGTATACAATACCCATTACCAAACTGATTGCTGGCTAGCCTTGATGACACTGCAGACAACCTAAGAAATACAAGCCTTGGGACAGGGAATTAAGGAGACCGGATCAACCCAATGAGAATCCACTGAAGCTAAGGTATTGGACTGCAGGTAGTGACAAATCACTGCCACTGGACAACCAATGATATACCTCCCTGGTCAATTCAACAAAGCATCAATAACCAAAGAACCCCTGTGGAAGGCTGCCAACTTGTTCTTTGCCAGAAAAGAAGGCAGTTAAAAATGAAGAAAATGCCCACCTGAGCCAAAATAGTAGAACTCCTGCCTCTGGAGAGAGCATGAAGCACCAACCCAACAACCAGAGGCTAGAGCAAGCAAAAACACTCACCTGATAAAAAAAAAAAAAAAGGAAACCTGGACCACAGGGGCAGAAATGAATCGAGGGAGGGAAAGAAAAAGAGTGACCCTGTCCAGTGAACAAGACAGCTCTGGAGAAGCATGAGTGGTTTGGAGGTGAAAAAAAAAATGTTCAAGACAACATGCAGAATGAAGCTTCAGAAGAATCGACGTTAAATGCCAGCAACAGTTCAAAAATTAGTGGCAGTAATAGGCATGAGATGTAGATCAACAAAATCACGAAAGAGTATACCCATGAACTGAAGGTGAAGATGGCAATCAGCAAACCAATCATGCTGGACTAATTCTTTGAAAGAGGTGGAGCCATGGAAAAACTCCGGGGTTCAGACACAGAGCTAGAAGAGCCTGAAACCAAGGCTGAGCCAGCACCAAGGAGCCAGAAGGATCATCCTCACTGAGAATGACTCCAGTCAGGAAAGAACCCGGGCCAACCATTGAACTGGGGAAAAGAAGTACTATAAATGCACACTTCTCCTTGACCAGTCCAGCTGAAAAACATTCGCAGCGAGAGCCTCACAATTGAGGAATAGTGCCAGGAAGGATGGAAAGTGCTGGTTCCACGTCGATGCGAAGAAATCCACTTCAAGGTGAACAACTCGTAGAGCCACTGGAAGAATACATGGCTGACGGTCCACTCCATGAAGATGGAACCGAGGCAAACCGTCCACGAGAATGTTGGAAATGCCCTGCACGTGGACTCGCCTACTTATTGTGCTTTCTCTCCTCCTCCACATATCTTGTTAGTACAGTACCTGTATATTATCTTTCAAACTTGCTTTGGTATTATTATGATGGTGGTGATAGAGGGTGATGGTTGAGGATGGGAGGTGACTTTGCCTTTACATTTTACTGGTCATCCAGTACAGAGCTTAGAATAAAATGAAAAAGTTTGACTTCTGAATTAGAGTCAAACAACAAAAGTGGTACTGACCCTGCAGCAAGAGCAGAAGGAGGAGCCACCTGTGACAAGGAGAAGGCCAGACGGTGAGGTAGCTGATAAAACAACCTCTGTCTTGGACGTGAGCGAGTCTGTCTTGCTTCTCCGTATAACTGAAATAAAATAATGATAATTAAAAAAAGAAAAAAAAAGAAATGAAAAGTTTATAAGAAAATCATATACTGTACTAAAGCTTAACATTTCAATGTTCCGACCCATTGGTGCATACGTGACCATGAACTTTTCAGGCATCTCAAGGTCCACTTATCAATGCCTATGTTGTTTATACTCTTACATTTTCTCAGTTAGATTTTGGGATATAACTATAAATTTAGTGTCAAAATGTTTGCATATAAATTAGACAGGGAATACTGTAGATGCAAAACAAAATGCGTTTGTTAAAAGATACTGTGTGACAGTGCCGAATATACAAATGTTTATGAACATTTCAGTATTTCTCTCATTTTCAAAAACTTTCTTTACTTTTTCAATAAAATTATAGAAATGGGCACATATGATCAGTCTATATCAGTGTAAAAAGAAATAAACAACTTTCATCTGTACTTTTCTGGCAGGTAATTTGCAAAGCATTGTGAAAATACTCACAAGCAGAGCAATTATCGTCGAATGATAGGTAGTTGGCCGAGGTGATATCTTGATGGTCCCCTGATTCTTTGGTTGATATCCTGATAAATTATATCCTCACTGTACTCCAAAAAAGTAAATAAATAAATAAATGAATAAATAAATAAATAAATAAATAAATAAAGAAATAAATAAAGAAGGAAAGAAATGCGATTTTCGGGAAATTCGAGATGGATAACGCATTTTAGCATCATCAGAGCATTTTTAGTTCATCGGAACATTAAAGTGTTAAATTAATTGACAATACTGTATGTGATTTTGAACCAAATTATTCTTATTTTTATTGGATTATACAAAATACCATGCTGAAAAGTCTCAGAAATATGAACAAGGAAAATATAGGTTACAGCTGATAGAACTATGTTATCAATGTTAAATAATACACATAATTAGTCTAAGACAAACTAGAATGCCTGGTTGAACCTCGACTTGGAGCAGATATCTGGATCCTGCTCTACCTTCGGAGTCGTAGAAAAGTGTCATGATTTGTCTTTGGGTTTCAATACTGCCATAAGGTATTCCTATTCAACAGCCAGGGTTGATATGATGCCTGGCATACTGCCTGGGGTCCGTGGGCTCCTGGTGTGCTCTTTCAAGACCTGGTTAACATCTGGGCCCATGCTTCACCAGAGGACAGTGGAAGGCATTGGCTTCATGTTTGTCTGATCAGACAAGTATTAATAAGGCTCCTCATGATTCTGCCATTAGACAGCAACTTTTGATCAACTAACCAGTATTCAAAGGATGTCTGAAGGTTGTATCATGTAGGGTCACTGGGTGTTGATATAGTCTTACTATTGGTCCTCTGGGCAAATTGCAAGCTCGGACAAATATAGATTTTCCCAAGGATGCAACAAACAACAATTACCTAACTCATGGGTACCTATTTCCTGCTAGGTGAATGGATGCATTAGGTGAAGGGAAACTTTGCCTAAACACTTCTGTCATTCTGTAGTAACTAAACATGGGATCTTTCAGCTATGACTTGTGTTTACCACTGCACCACAGTGGAGTTGATTTACAAGATTGGAAAGAACTTTTCTTGTGTTTGCAACTGTTTTCATCTTGTCCAACACTAAAACCATTTTCTATTGTTTAACAGTTAATGGTAAATAATTGCACCATCCAAAAATGCCTGACAGACAGAACTTGCCTCTACTTGGGCATTTGGGTATAGCAAAAGCCATGTCAAGCCAAAAAGGGAGTGTGTGTTACATGCAAGCCACGACAAATCGGGAACCTCATACTGCAACCATTACTGTAATTAAGAAGCAGACAGCCTGAATTCAAAAGAAGACATTCTGATCCTGAACGAGTCGAAAAAGATCTGAGCATGCCACTGCACACTAAAGACGGGAATTCTGAAACTGCCACACATAAAAGCCTCCAAGGACTCTGCTCAAACCCAGAAGCACAATGAGGGGAAGTAAAGTACAGTAATTATCAAAAGGCACCAAATGAGGGGAAGCCACTGAAGAATTCATCTCAAATAACAAAAGCGGAAGTACAACAAACTCCGTTTTAGTCAAGTACCACACTCAAGAGAGAATTAATATAATCAGGATTAAAAGGCACCCCAGGTACTGAATCCTTCCCCGTTGCACACAAAAATGAAGGACACTGGGACAGAGTAGTCTCCCAACAGAAAAAAAAGGAAGCAACACCAAAACCACCATCAAAGTGGAAAGGAAAGTCCCCAAAGAAGGCCTAAACACATCAAAAATATTCTCACCCCACAGACTCCAAAACTACCAGATGATGACATAACCACACATCAGAAGATGGAGAAACTACGACATTTCGGTCCATCCTGGACCATTATCAAATTGTGTGTGGTCCTGGACGGACCGAAACATCATCGTTTCTCCATCTTCTGATGTGTGGTTTGGTCATCACATCTTCAGCCACGTTATTGTGACTCATTGTTTGCAAATTCCCAGGAGTTTCAGAACCGGGAGCAAATAGGGAGGCTCCCAGGCCTGTCGAACAACACCAGCTGGGACAGGGAAAGGAGATGAAGGAGCAAACTTGGAGCAAGAAGAAAACACCAAGTGCTCCAAGACTAGATACTAAAAAGACAAAGGGCCAACCCTGAGGCAACCACATTGACGTAATCCTTCAACTGTGTGGCACAGCTGGGGTTGATGAGGATAGTTATTCGTAAACTGTGCAACATGCTGGGGCCAGTATCAAGTAAGATTTACAAGTCCCATGCATACACAGGGCTTGCATTTGCTTCCTCGGGCCTCCAGTATGCAGAAGTCATCTTGGAAAAAATAATCATGGACACCCCTCCTGGGTATGAAGGCCTCATTATTGAGAGGGTAACGATGGGTGGCACATACTGCAGCAATGTGAAATACCAGCACCCGAGAAGTGCTGGGGTGGGAAAAGGCGTGGAACAGTGAATGTCAGACATAAGCTCCACTAACCCATTTTCAATGGTTTGTTTACCTTTTTGTTGGTATGATTTAGTTAGCCAACCTTTCTGAAGACCTTTTTTTTGGTTAGTGAGATCTAGGATCCTCTGTTCCTTGTGCCTTTTTAGAAAGGGCCAGGTTTTGGCCTCTGATCCCCAATAGGCTTACATGACTCGCAAGGGCCTGCCATGGATTAAACTGGGTAGAGCTTGCCAAGTAGCCCTCCCAGAAAAACTATATATATAAAGCAAAATTAACAAGAAATCCCATATTAGGTTCAATATATAGTCAATCTTCTGAAGGATTCTCATTGAAAATAGAATCACACATTAAAAGTTGGGGAGAAATGTATAGCAAGTTCATAACTTACCACTCTGGAATTGAGCCACTTGCTATGGACCCCAGTTCAACTGCTTTGGCACTATGATGGTAAAAAATAGTTCAATAATATAAAAGAAGAGTAAATTCACCTGGTAATGCAAAGATGGCAGAAAGGCTATTTTAACTATTACAAAATCAACCTATCTGCACAAAGTGTAAATTTCAAGAGTTGGGTGGTCAGGGATGTGCTTGTAGGATTTGCATTACAATATGGGACCCAGAATGCATTGGTCTATTAACACCAATGGAAGGAATTCCAATTTGTGACCAATACGGAAATTACAACCCAGGAACTGCCAATGGTATAAAAATCACATACAATTTTGTGGAGCACCTCACCACTTATATAGCATACTCTGCCTACTGTTCAGCAGTAGCATCTTCAATTCGGTCAGATGGTCTTCCAGCAGAAGAGGTTTGTAAAACCCCATTTATTTATTTTTATTTATTTATTTATATACAAGAAGGTACATTGGGATTGTGAGGATACATAGCATAGTAATTACATTCTTGTAAAGCCACTAGTACACGCAGCGTTTCGGGCAGGTCCTTAATATAAGAAACTTATAAGTAAATACTTGCAAAATTTATAAAAATGATAACAGTTACATAGCATGAAAAAAATAACAGACAAGAGAAAAATTGTAGGTATATTAAAGCACAGCAGGAATCATGCCCAAGGCCTGTGATTGACCCTATATTATGTTATAAGTATAGTACAGTACAGTCATCTCCTCCTGGAAAAGCATAGAAGAGAAGATGAAGCCATGAAGACAAGACCCTGATGTGAAAGTCTGTAGCTCAAGCCTGCCCAGCTCTGGTGTAATCACCTAAGTTATGCTCAAAGTACTACTTCAGTTACTGATGAAGAATGACTTACACACACAGTAGAACCCTCTATACCTGGGGAACACCAGCCGAGACTGTCCATGCCTCTCGAGAGGTATCCCCAGTGCTTATGCCCATACATATTTCAATATAAACAATATTATGAATATATTTTGGTTTTCCATTACTGGGGATAAGAGGCATTTTAGGCTTATTGAGGTTTCCTTAACAAATGACCATTCCCCTTACAATGTGACTCATAATGGCTGAAGAACTCCCAGGTATAACCTCCTTTATAGAACAAGCAAGTTGCATAAAGAGTTTCTCCTCCAAATGACTGCTCGAAGTGATGATTAAGGGAGTTGCAGTACAGTGGTACATCAATATTTATGATTTAGGAAGGCTTGAATGTTGTTATTTACTGCTAGGATGAAGAGGTATTGGATATAAGGAAATGTGACCCAGCACCTTGCCTTGCCCAGGAACTGGAGCCAGGACCAATCAATGCATGTTTTTCATATAGACATGAGGGAAGGAGAAACACTAAATTGTTCAACATCATTAAATACATGGTGAGGTGCATGGTTGATATTTACGTAAATTTTCCTGAGTCACTAACACTAGGGGCTTTAATAAGGACTGGAAGCCAATGGCTTGTCAAAGGTCCTCCCAAATATAAGCCTTCTTATCAACTTAGTTATCATTCTTTAGGTAAATTACAAGTAATATTAATTTTCATCTAACAGCATATCAAATCACTTGACATAAACTGGCTAATGTTTTTTTTTATTGCACTATTGTTATGTATCCTAAACATTTTAAGCTGGATCTTATATATGATGCAAGAGTTAGACATTGCACGTCAAAGACGTATAAAAACAGTTGTATAATGAGACTGTCAGTAGCCATTACTCCGTATGGTGGAGTGCAACGCTGGCCCAGGTAAACTGTGAGTGTGTGTGTATGGACTATGGTGGCCATGACCATGAGCAAGGACATCAATCCCAGAATTATGTCCGGTCCTCAACTAGGACCACAGACTCGCCTCTCTGAAGTGTAGCTTTTGCATGAGATGATGTCGGCCATGTTGACGGAGACCAGGAACCCTCGCGGAATACCCGGTACTGGACATTATTGAGAGTAAAGTGATGGCGTCGTGCGTTGTCTCATCGCTGCTCCGTCCCCCGCCGCTCCTTGTGTTGTCATGTTGAACAGCTGATCCAGCCGTTGGTGACGCCGTCTTCACACATAATAAACCAACAACCCAATAGGCCTATTCCATCCAACAAAAAATAAAACACAATTGCCACTAGATATATTTAGAATAGATCTAAAGGTCTACTGTTATAAATATAATCCCAATTTTTTTTGTATGATCAGTTCTATCAATAATGATGCTGAAGCCTAGTGGGGAAGCCATTTCCCACCGATCAGAAAGCCTAAAGACAGTCACCCATTTCTGGCTTATAAGCCTATTGTGTTTGATGACAATGTATGGTTGAGGGCTAAGTAGTAGTATAGTTAGGTTGAGAGTGTATGAGAGGGAGGACTGCGCTTGGCGGGCGTGTGCTGGGAGCGAGGCGGCGGTGGTGCCATCTGTTGTGCAGGCAGACAGTGCTGCACTGGGCCCCTGGCAAGTGAAAATGAGCACCAAGCCTGAAATGAATCGCCGAAGTAAGTAGCATTTGTGGTATGAAAATATATGTGACTATGAGCCATTTATAGTCTTGGAGTTGGTAACTATCCGCTGTCTCTTCCAGTTGCAGCGGTCGCTAAGAAGAAAAGGGCAAAAAAGCCCAAAAACAACAGGCCTCAGGCAAGCAAGGCTCGAGAGGGCAATGACAACAACTCTGCTCGAGGAAGGCAAGTAGTCCTTAAAACTTTACATTTCACGCGCTGGAGACAAAGTTTTCGCCGTTTTACCCAAAGTTGTCGACACTAAATGTGAAGTCCGGGAATAATTGGTACTGGTGTGTGTAAATCCGGTGTACAATGGCCTGGAGCTCGCGTCAGTTTCATGGGTGATGATTCAGTTAATTGACTCTGCCTCTTGGGATGTTGTATTTGGTTTGTTTAGATTTATTGACGCTTCAAGTTTGTGAACACATGTAGTAAACATCTAGAAATTGAATGACTTTTAGGCTAGATTGTGGTAGTTTGTTTGTTGTTGATTGTCACTTGGAACTGTCAGTGTGTGAGTGTGATTCTGGCATTTAGGCAAATAGCAGTGCTTGACAAGATATTTAAATGTCGTCTTGGCTCTAACTTTATTAATTTACAATTTTCACCAGGTGTTATTGAAAAGCTTTCTTTGAGACAGTTGGAAATTCAAACTTCTGGTACATTCTTTATTAACACTGATAGAAAAATAATATAATATAGTACAGTTTACTGAAATTGGACAAATTCAGTAGTTATACAACAAATAAAATGGGAAAACTGCTGTAGGTTACTAGCACTTTAATAATACTGTACCCAGATTTGTATTCATGAGTTTAAATGCTAGTACACATCCAGGGTTCTTGTCCTGGCCTACTGATTTTGCCCTTCATAGCAAATTGTGTTGCAGCACTGTCATAAAAGACTATATTAGACACTTGCCTACTTACATATTCTCTCTTTAAGACTCCATTGCAATCAGTTTGTCCCCTTTCTGGATAATTTAATTGAATTATATTTTAAAAAGGATTTAATCATTTTGTAATTAACAATTGTATGAATTTGGGATATTTATAAATTGGATAATGAATACTCATTTGAACAATTAATGTATTTCATATATTGTTCCAGGTTAACTACAAAACATGTGAGAGCTCATTTAAGTCATGAAGCTTCACTAGTGTAGTGTGAAGAAGCTATTTTCATGAGATGTATATAATTTTAGCCTGGACTAAAGAACTCAGAGAGAGAAAACCATACATGAGACATGGATTAAAGTGACTTTAATAAGACTGTATAGTGTGCCAATCTCTTTATAGATCTTATTACATAGCATACTATTTAATTATTCTAATGATTAATTAGAAAATTAATAACTAAATATTCATGTACTAAATTTTGATTAGATATTCATGATTATTGGTTATTTAATACTATGCTTTGCCAAGGATATGGATGGTGCAAAGTGTTTACAGTACTGTTACTGGGTATATATACATATGTACAGTATATATAGGATGTAGGTACTGTATTCTGTTTTTGAAGTCAAATTGCTAATGAAAGCTATGTATTTTAATTTGTCAATCATTATTGATGTATGGCTAGTGAAGATTCTACTCTAGTAACACAGTCTGAGACTAGGATTCTGTAATGATAATATCACTTTAGCTATTGCTGCTTGGAGACAACAAACCTATAAAGCCATTGCTACCTTGCTGATGAAGCACCTTACTACCTTTGGTGCTAATTAAGATACTGTACTATATACAGTTAAGTCGGATTGGAATTAATCAACTTTTAAAACTCATAGTTGATGTCAACTCATGAGTAGAGGCACAGTATCAAAAGCTTTGCTGAAGTCAAGGGTAAACAAAGTTGAAATCCTTTATGTTCTCAACTATCTCAGATTTGAATTGCCCTTGGTAAACCAATGTTATGATACCTTTATTAATTGTTTTTCAAGCAATTTCCCGCAGTAAACAGTTCAGTGCTAGTGATCTAACCCTCCTCCTTAAAGATGAACACCATATTCACAACTGTCTATGATTGCTGGTTGGTTCTAATGATTTACTAAATCTGAAAGACAAAAGCTCACTTGTACAATATTTACATTTTTAAAGACCCTGGCAATTACTTTTGTCCTAGGACTTGGACTTTAATTTTATATTTAATAAATTTCTCTGATTCATCATCTACAAAGATTGGTTTAACCACTGTAAATTACCATGTTCTTTAGTAAAGTAGAAGATGGTCTTATTTAGAATGCCACCTATTTCTATGCCAGCATCAATAACTTAACCTTTCATTTTTCAACATACCAAGCCTTTCACTAATTTGGTATCTTTCTGAAAGAACAGATTGTTTTTGCCTGCCATGCTATGTGCACTTCATAATTTCATTTTGCTTCTATTATGTGTTGTAACTTCTTGCCAGTAATACAAATCATTTATTTGTTTCCATTACCAACCATAATATTGTCCATACAGTATTGCTTAAATTGGCATTTTTGTATTCTGCATAGCAAACCCTTAATCTGTTTTCCTTATCTTAAGCACAAAAATCTGTTTAAATACTTAATTTGAGAATTACAAAAGTTGTTGAATCTTCAACAACTAACATTTTCTTAAAATTTTTGTGTTCCTTTTGTAGTTTTAACCTTTTGAGCATGTTCTCTCCCTTCACACTCATCCTCTTGTACATAGAAAAAATTTGAAGGTTTTCACTATAGATATCGGCCTCTCTTTATGGTCTTCCTGAAACCCTTATCCTTGGTAGAACTAAAAGTAGATGATTTCTTAAGGTTGCTCTCTCTGCCTCATCTTTGTCTAGTGGCAATACACATTCCCTTGACTGCTTTGTCTCCTTGCACAATCCATCTAACAATCCATCAACTCTTTGTGCAGCACACAGCTCCACCAATTTACAGTCATCTCTGTCTTCAATAATCTAGAAAAAGCATTTTACATAACTAAGGGCATTCTTACCTTGTATTTCTCACACTACAACTCTCATGGGGCTGCCAGACTTGTCTGCCTTTAAGCCTTCTGTCTGCACAAAATTTCTCACTATCCTTTTGATTTACTGTACTGCTAGTTGTAGGCTGAAATGTTACCAGCATTTTTTTTAAGCCATTGTGACAATACTAGTATATATTTTTGGAATGATGTGGTGCAACTCGCCCACACCAATGATCATTATCAATACAAAATCAATAAAGCTCCCTTGACTGAGACATTTGTTTGGGCTGCAGGTGGCTTGCTGCAAATCTAAGGGCCAGTTCTAACCAGAAATTAATGAACAGTCAGTTTGGAAGGCAAGATTGACTGTACAGTACTAGATCCAATATGTATAGTGCTGTGTATTACAGTGCTGTACAGGAAGGTCTGTACTGTACTTACAAATGGATCTCATTCTGAAAAAGGTGCATGTCATCAATTTGTAACTCGGTACCAGATTCACAATAGGTATAATTCTGTAAAAATATTTATCCGAAAAATGATGTAAGAAAAACTACGTATTATCTACCTTGAATATTGGAGCTGTTTTGTCCGATACGATTCTTTTTCAAGAGCGAGTTTCTAGATGCAGTGGCAGTATTAAGTAGTAATGTATGGTCACTGGTGCACTACCAACACACCTCTTCTTATCAGCCATTAAAAGACTTTCATCGGTCTAAATATGAAATAGAGCATTGGTAGCAATGTTTGTAATGGAGACTTAATAATGGTTTGCATAGAGGAGTGAGGGGGAGGGGCTAAAATAGGTATGTTGAGGGGCCATTCCTAAGATCAGATTTTCATAAGTTGGGGAACTCCCTTGTACTTTTTTTTGACATTTCTGGGGTACTCTCTTATGTTTTGCAGGCATATTACTAGGGCCTGGTTGTGGCTCATTGCTTGCTTGTCTTACTAAGAATCTGTCTATAGACACTTGTTTTCCCCTACGTTTTAACACTTGTCTGTAGTGAGACGTCACATTCTCACTATTAATGATCTCTTGTTTTTCCTCTCATCCTCACAACTATTTTATCTTAGGTTGAACTTTACCCATGACTTTCTTGTAACCCATGGCATGATATATAATAAGAACTTTTATGTTTAAAAACCAAAAAAGCACATATACAATGAAATTCTTTACAAAGAACTCGCACGCGGTCGTCTAAACATGAAGTGCATCATGTGCTCGGTTGGCCCATACGTGTATCAACAAACTCGAGCACGGAAGCAAACCTTGAATACGGTGTCAAATTTGTCAAAAAGTTGAGCTCAAGAACTGAAAAATTTGAAAAGAGGGGCATTCAAAAACAGCAGTTCCACTTTTGCTGCATAATCTTAATACTGTACGTAATCTGATATGCAGTATTTATAATTACAGTATCTTAATACCCCTATACAGTGGTACCTGTACCTTCATTTACGAATTTAATCTGGTTCCCAGAGATGGTTCATAACCTGAAAATTTGTAAACCGAAGCGAATTTCCCTATAAGAAATAATGTAAGTTGAATTTGTCCATTCCATACTCCCAAAAATATTAACTTCAAAGTAAGTGTTATACCTAATTCAGCCAGATCTTTAGTACTAAAGTATGTACAAGTTATTGCTTATCTTTATTGATGACTCTTGTTGGCATATGGAAGACAGTGAGAAGGAGAGGTATTACTGTTTGGAAGGGGAGTCCCCTTCCATTATAACATCAGTCAGTGATGACTTCTCTGGGGTACTCATGTTTTGCCTTCATACCACTAGGTCCTGCTTGTGGCTCACTGCTTGATTTCATCACTAAAAATCTATCCATAGAGGATTGTTTTTCCCTTCATTGTAACATTGAGTAACATTACTGGTCTGTAATGAGGCACCACAGTGTCATTAAAAAAGTTAATACAGCGGCCTGCTACAGCTTTATCTGGGCGAGTT